GTAACAGTCACATCAGTGGTAGTAACTTCATCAAAGGCTTCACTGTTTCTCTTCTCAAAACCGAGTAAAGTTTCTTCTTCGACAGTGGCTTTTTCAGGTGACACGTCTTCAGCAGCGTCATTTGTTCCATTGTTCACTTCACCTCAACTGAAATGTCCTGGACCTTGATAACGCCAAAGCCTGTTGGCATGCACCACCTTTGGCTTACCTCGCTGACCACATTTTATCCGGAAAGTCACGTCTGAGATACGATCCACTATGTCATATGGGCCTTCCCATGGAGTAGAAAACTTAGGAGACTTCCCTTTGGTCTTCCTGGGATTATAAAACCACACCTTGTCTCTTGGTATAAAGCTGACTTCAGTAGATCTCTTATCATAAGATAACTTCATTGAATCAGTAGACATTTTCAAGTTTGAACACACTTGAGGGTGAATATCATCCATCTTTTCCGATAACGGCCTGGCATGGCCAGGTGGTTAGGGTACTCGACTCGCAATCTGCGGGTCGCGGGTTCGAATCCCCGTTACACCAAACATGCTCGCCCTTTCAGCCGTGGGGGCGTTATAATGTGACGGTCAATCCCACTATTCGTTTGTAAAAGAGTAGCCCAAAAGTTGGCGGTGGGTGGTGATGACTAGCTGCCTTCCCTCTAGTCTTACCCTGCTAAATTAGGGACGGCTAGCGCAGATAGCCCTCGTGTAGCTTTGCGCGAAATTCATAACAAACAAACTTTCCGATAATACTTTCACGAACTCTGACACATTTTCAGGCAACTCTTCATAAGGTGGGCATTCTGTTAACAGATCCACTGGCAACCGAAGTTCCAGACAAAATATTAACTTCGCTGGAGTGTATCCAGTGGCTTCATGCTCTGCTGTCCTATAGGCCATCAACAGTGGAGGGAGTAAGACATCCCAGTCATCTTGGCGACTATTACAAAACTTTGCCAATTCCTGTCCCAGTGCCCAATTGTCCTTTTCTACCATCCCATCGGACTGTGGGTGAAGTGGCGTTGTTCTGGTCTTTCGGATGCCAAACAACTTGGAACACTGCTGATTCGAAGTTACGGCCTTGATTTGAATGTAGTTCATATGGCACACCAAATCTGAAGAAGAAATCACTGATAGCCGAAGCTACAGTTGTAGCTTCCTGATTTGGTATTGCATATGACTCAGGCCACTTGGTGAAATAATCCATCACTACACAAATGTAC